CATAATGGAGCACATAAAGTGAATTACAGTCTGTCCTGGTGTCTCTGGTGACATACTCAGAGTTGAATACAGGTTATCTGGCCTAACATTTTCCCCAGTGTGCCGTGCTATTTTTTACCTGATGACGTGTTTTCATAACAGCTCAAGATTCAAAGCAGTATTGTTCATTTACTCAGTGTCAGATTTGCTCTACTTTCGTAATTCCCAGTCTTTGAACAAATGTGATCTAAAGATTTTGTCTGTTATCATTCACAATGGAACAATAAAAACTCAAGCATGTAATCACATTTTCATTAAGAAAATAAAAACCAACAAATAAGCTAATTATTTACAGACCATAATTATCACTTGATTTGCCTGTATGCTGAGCTTACATGCGTTTTAATGAAATTCTTTGGTGAAATACTGCTTTTCATGTTTCACAGGTGCTTAAAGTACCAGATGAAGAGGTTGACAAGTTGCCAGTTTCTAAATCTGCAACAGTCAACGGCTACACTCTGGTCACTGACTCGCCTGGGCTCCCCAAAGATGCTGGATTTGGGGTTCAGACAAATAGTCATTGTGCTGCTCCATGCTCTGAGATTCCTGTGCTTAATGATTATAAGGCAGTGGAGGAAGTGAAGGTGGATGCCCAAGAGAAGAGTGAGGAGGAAGAGGAAGAGGATGAGGAAGAGGACATTAGTTTGGACAGCCTTCTTAAGAGATCAAGGGAGTATGTGAAGAAAGAGCAGAGTCAGCAGGGATCAAAAGCTGTCCGCGCAATGACCCAGTCTCCCCCACCTGAGACTGACTCTGTCAGTGAAGAGAAGAGCTGCAGCCCTGTGACGGACACAGGCATTCAGTTTGGATTCAGTCTGCACCACAGCCCTGTCGGCCCGCCTCAAATCCAGCATCAAGTACTGCGTGACTCTAGTCCTCAAAGGTCCATCTGCCTCTCACCTAGTCTACCAGAACCATTTTCTTGTCTCCCCAATCCAGAGACCAGCATAAGTCCTCGTCCACAGAGACGCAAACCACGCCCAGTTTCCACAGGCAACATCCATTTTTCATTTCCCATCGGCCCAGCAGACCTTATTGCTCGAAGCCCAGGACGGTCAGAGGAAGCCATTGGTGTGGTGGACTGGGGAGATGCTTCAACACCTCCATCTCACTGGAGCTCAGTGGGAATAGAGGGCGTCAGCCGGACTGGCATTCGTCGATCCAGCCACTGTGGAACCAGTCCAGTGAAGGAGAACTGTAACCCTGTCAGTGCCTCGGTGCCCAGCTCAATGGGTGATCACCTGGCTGCAGGTTTTCGCCGGCGCTGCCACACTATGGACAGCCAGCTGCATACCTACCATTCTGGAGCGGAGCGCATAGACCGCAGCCAGGAACGCCTCCCTCGCTTCATGGCAGGAGTTACACTGTTTGCTCCCAGTCGGCGCACACCTGCAGCCCCTTTAAACCAGTCGTATGATGTAGAGAATCCTTCACTGCCTTTCCTGAGGCCCTGTGTGACTCCTGCAGACGAATCTCCGGGGCCAAACAATGGCAGGAAAACACCGACTGTCCTCAGACATGCAGCTGAAGCACAGGCCCGCAAGACAGGTGAGTGCCTTTGATGAAAGCTATTTTTTTTTTAATGTTTACAACTGTGTAACTCCCACTGTGTAACTCCCACTGAGATTTTTGATTCCCACATTTATATATTTTATGTTAAGTGAGTAAAACTCTGACATGGTAAAAGATGATTTATTTGTATGCATTTGTGCTTATTAACAGATGAGACCCAGTGGCGAGCGCAGGCTCTGGAGGACATGCAAAGACGTCTTGAGAAGGAGCATGCCTTGCAGATGTCTCTGCTCCTCGCTGAGCAGGAGAAAGAGCAACAGCGCCTCCACCTGGTCAGCACATGGAATTTAACAGTGACCATTTTATATAGAAGTAGATCAGAAAAAAAGTGTTCTTTTTTTAAATGACCATGAAAAGCTACACCAAAACCTAATATGTTTAACTACAATGCCAAACTTTATTTTCTTTATTTTATTTTGCTTTCTTTGTGTGTGTGTGTGTGTGT